TGGTCCTAGCACTGAACCCTGTGGAACTCCATAATTAACCTCAGTGTGTGAAGAGGACTCTCCATTTACATGAACAAATTGGAGTCTATTAGATAGATATGATACAAACCCCTGCAGTGCAGTACCTGTAATACCTACAGCATGTTCTAATCGCTCTAATAGGATATTATGGTCAACAGTATTGAACGCTGCACTAAGGTCTAACAGGACAAGCACAGAGATGAGTTCACTGTCAGAGGCCATAAGGCCATGTGTATGTGCTTTCTAATGGATCATCACAATCTCTCTTTTCTGTGCTTTCTAGAACATTCTCAATGTCTTAGTGAACCGTGAGGCTTCACCAAGAACAGGTGTGTTGATTCCAGTGCCATGCCACAACAAAACAGTGTTGTCCATAACGCAGTTGGGTGCAGTCGCCGTCCCTTATTACCTGAGTGAGGAGCAGGGATGGGCGCTGCAAGTGGAAGAGCTGCAGCGAGCGCTCGAATCTGCAAAGGGAGTCTGTAATCCTGTGGCTCTGTACGTCATCAACCCCGGAAATCCAGCAGGTATTTATTCCAGCCAGTGTGGGGATCATCTACTGTAAGTGTTTGTTCTTTGTGTTACAGGATGAATATTATACCCTTACTTGTTTTTATGCCACACTGCCTGTAGGTTATGTTCAGAGTCAAAAATCAGTGCTAGAGGTGATCCGGTTTGCTTGGGAAAAGAGGCTCTTTCTTCTGGTTGATGAGGTGGAGAAGCTATTATCATCCATGCAAGCATATTTTAAAAACCAAATGCATCTGTATAAAGGAACTTATGGATGTTTACATGTTGCATTGCAGCTCTATCAGGACTGTGTTTATGGGGAAAACTGTGAGTTTGTCTCCTACAAAAGGGCTGTGAGCGAGATGGGGCCTCCTTTCTCAGGCACAGTGGAGCTGGCGTCCTTTCACTCAGTGTCCAAAGGCTTCTCGGGAGAGTATGTGTTCAGTCCAGATATGTATCTGGTTTGTAATGGATGATTCTCACAAAGCTTGAGGCAAAAATTAAACTGAAATTTAAAGAAATAAAGCAGTCAAATAAGCAATCTCACTACAAGATCAAAAAGATGAAGACGTTAGTTTGCTCACTGATACTTATAAGTGCTATTGTGCATTATTTGCACAACTACAAAGATGATCAGGATTTTTAAAAACTTATATACCAAACTTCTCAAGTTTGTTAACTGCATTACAAATATTATTTCTCTGTATTGTTGAGTTTTAAGAAATCTTATCTTGAAAAACACAAATGTGACATAAGCTACTCTCTACAGTTTATGCTTTTTTCAGAAGAGAAATCTGAACACTGGATATACTAGTGAAAAAAAAAAAACAAGTTCTGAGGAGATTTTTGGGTACCTTAGCGTCACTGCGTGAGATACACCCTAGTCAGGCTGGCAGGCTGTTATTGGACCAGCACAGAGAGACAGTCATTTATAAACACATTCACACTTAAAGTCACCAATTAACCTAACATGCAATCTTTGGACTCTGAAAGGTTGCCAGATAACCTGGACAAATCCCACATATGCACAGGGAGAGACTCCAGCTGGTCAGCAGGTTTGACCCCTGAAACTCCTTGCAGCCAAGTTAATATGCTAACCAGTGCAATGGTTACCCTGATACTGGCGGCAGTTAGTGGCACCTCTCAGCCTTCTAGTAGATACACCTATGATGTAATTTAAAACTCCTACATCAGTTTGTTCTCGAGTTATCACATTCACAAACTTGGGTGCCCATGTTGTCTGTCAGTCTTTTATGGCTGTCAGGTAAAATCTTCCAAAGTTGATTGCATTGCACAACTTGCATCGTGACAATTACACTTTTGTGTTTAACATATATTTTCGGTGTTAATTGTAGAAATGTCTTTTTGAAATTCATGCAAATTAGTGCCAAGTGTGCTAAAATAGCTTTGGACATTTTCTTTAGACTGATATGAACAAAGAGATCATTGACCAGAGTCTCATTGTAAGTTTAAACACTTCTTATACAAGCTAAAATGCGGAACTTAAAAGTATCACAGGTGTAGCAGTGATACTTTTAAGAGTGCAAGCAGGGTGGAGAGGATGGGATGCATTTCATGGCAAGAGTGAAAAGGAAGGTTGTGTGTCCAGTATATCCACTATCCTTCCTCTGCACATGTCCAAACCATCTCGGTCTCAAACTATGTCTCCAAACTGCTCAACCTGAGCTTTGATGTACCAGTCCCCTTGAGCTGGCAGGCAAGAAGTAAAGAAGAAATCTTCATAGGATGTCGTAAAGAAGGGCGTGCAGAGGGTTGGTAGGAATAGTGTGAAATGAAAAAAAAACAAAACAAAACAATGAAATTCAGTGATAAACTGTCATCCACTGAGAGTGATCATGAGAAGCAAAGCTCCAGAACAGCTACGTTTTTGTTGTTTCTACATGCAAGTCTCTTTCATTAGGTGTGGTCTCCGTGCTGGATATGTCGAGCTGGTAAATCTGGATCCTGCTGTCATGAAATACATCAACACACTGTTCTCCAAAGATGCTTGTTCACCAGTTTTAGGTCAGATTGCCCTGGATCTGATGACGGACCCTCCAAAGCCAGGAGACCCCTCGTACCTGCTCTATAAACAGGTTGGACCTGAGAACTGTACTCTTGTTTAGCTGAGGATGACCAACTACATGTAGCGCTGTAGCTGTTTTTGATAAAGAATTTGCCATTTTCTACAAGCTGATGTCTTCTGCAGGAAATTGAGCAGATCAGGACTGTGCTGGTTCATAGCGTGAAGAAAGTCCACGAGGTTGTCAACAGCCTACCGGGATTCAGCTGCCCACCCATTGAAGGAGGATTGTTTGCGTTCCCCAGACTGCACCTCACACCAAAAGCTATTCAGAAAGCCAAGGTTACAGCAGAAATGCAAGAGGATGTATTACATAATCTGTGTTGAAGCCCTTTGAACTTTCTCCTGGTTCATTTTCCTGAAATGTGTTTGTTGTTTTCCTTGGATATTTCAGGAATTAGGACTGCAGCCAGACACATTCTACTGTACGAGACTGCTAGAAGAAGGTGGAGTGTTTACCGGTCCTGGTTGGGAGTACGGACAAAAGGAGGGCACCTACCACATCAGGTACAACACAAGTCGGGCACTCTTCAAAGTACATCATTAGGAAATTATAGATATTATATAAAGCAATTTTATTTTTGGTATAAAACAAAAAATAATTTCTATTGTTAAAAGAAGTCTGTTTAGACTGCAGATGGATTCATTTCATGGTCCAAGTCTCAAAGTCTTTTTTTTTTTTGTCTCTGCAGATTTTGCATCGCGGTCCCTCAGGACGTCATGGAGGAATTACTGAGACGCCTGAGCAGCTTCCACATGACATTTATGAAGGATTTTTCTTAAAGACAAAGTTCCCATTGGAGTTTTTTTTCTGTAATCCCATAACTCTATATAGAAAATCAAACCAATTTTTGAAACAGCGATGTTGATTTTAATAAATATGACATTTATTGCATACAATCTTTGATCAGCCATCTTTTGTCACTACCCATTAGAGTAAGATACAGCTTCAGCTTTTCAGAAAGCAACTAACCGACTATTACAAGTTCCAAATTCAAAGGAGGCCTTACATCAGCAATCATTAAAAATTAAATTAAAAAAAAAAAAAAAAAAAAAAAAAAAAAAGAAAAAAAAAATAGTAGTGTGTTCTTTAAAGAGTTCCTGATAAATTCTGTGCTTTCACAATGGAATCCAGCACTAAAATAGGGAAAAAAAAAAAAAAAAAAAGAGAGAAAAAAAGTGATGTCAAAACAGCAAATCATCAGCCACTTAATCTGAGCCAGCAGACATGTAGAAGACCCTCAGTCTTATCAATCCACCTCACTGTCACTGCTGTGAACAAGAGGGTTTGAATCTGTATTGTTCAGCAGCTGTACTAGTAAAGAGATGAGCTTTCCATCTTGAGAAGCGTTTGTGTTACTGGGGCTGTTGAGGTTTCGGTGCAGCATGGTCTGAATGGAAGTGCGTAGCTCCCAGAGCAGCTCCCACGTCTCAACCTGCAGCTCACAGCGCACCAGAGATCGTCCAGAAAATGATACTTCTATTTTGTCGCCATGCACTGGTCACAAGAAAAAGAAGAGTAGTGTTCAAGTCTGCTAATGCAGAGGGATGATTTCATTTTTGGTGCTTGTCTAAAATGCAAACTACAAACATGTAGACAGACTTGCACAGTTGAAATTATTTCATTTTTACTGTAGCACTCCATAACAGTCCAAAAGCATTAGTCAGCACTTGAACACATCTAAACCAACAAGATTTTCAGCTGACCAAAGACGTGCACAAACAAAGGACTTCAGTCAGATTACCATCCTCCAACCTGTGCTACAAATGCATTCTTTAGGGAGAGCAGAAAACATCTTACCCATCTCTGTGATATCGCAGTCTGTAAGCAGCAACAGAGCGAGTGGATGGACTGTAGAAGAGTCTCTGATGAAAACATTCCCGTTGGACTTGATGGCACTGAAGAATGTCAACCACCGACTAGGGAGGTCTTCTTTCCCACTACAATATAAAATGAAAACAAACTTTACATGCACATCAAGTCTGTTTGTGATGCAACTCAATATTTAGGGCATGCTCTGACCGGTTCACTGAGGAGCGGTGAAGCAGCACTGGCCCACTGAGTGTTCGCAAAGAAATGCTGTTGGGACGAAAGCGTCCTTTAGTCACAACACCTTTCTTCACCTAAAAACAAAAGAACAAAACAAACCAGGTCTAATTTAAATGCAATGCAATGTCAGATTCAACACAAACACCTATACAGCTTTAACCTACAAAAGCTCAAGTAGATTTATAGAACCGTTACATCACTGTTATGAGTTAATTATGAGTCCCTGGGGGGATTATAGCAGGATATAGGCAATGAAAGTCAGTCTGGGTAGCTGCCATGTACCTGAATGAGGTTGGGATACAGCCCAGCCAGCAGCACAGCTTTAAGCAGCTCATCCTGGTTGCTGTGCTCATTGTAGAGAGAGGTGTAACGCTGGCAGTCACTGGGATGAGAAACCAGCCCGGCGTCATGCAGATTATCACTGAACTGAGATATAAGACCTGCAATAGGATCAGATGACAGAAATATTTGAATTTAGCAAAAAACAAGAGGGCAGGGATTTTTAACTTCCAAAAGTGGACTGAGACAGGGTGTAAAAGACTGACCGTTTATAAAACGAAGGCTGGCCTTGGACAGGGTGTGTCTCTCCAGAAAGTCATCCCTGTCCTCTCGGTTGCCGTCCTGCTGAACTTTCCTCCAGCCCAGAACAGCTCTACTGACCACCAGATAGTCACTGTAGCTTGAGCCACTCAGAGCCTCTTTGGCCTGAACAAACAAAGCAGACGACTCAGTAACAGCTTAGCAAACAAAAATATGGCAAAATTTATTATGGTGAAGACCTCTCACCTTGTTGACTAGTGCTCTGTTCTGCAAGCTGTTGTGGAAAGGGTCTCTACTGAGACAGGCAGCTACAGACAACATAGGCATAACACATCTAAACATGCTACTCAGGACTAATATTTTGCCCAGCCGTGGGTCACATGACATGCAGGCGACACGATCCCCTAATGGAGTCAGTGTTTCGGTCCTGTCCAGGACTCCTGCAAAACAAAAGTGCATCAAAATGACGAGTAAAGACAAGTAAAGACGAGCAAAGACGAGCAAAGACACGCTTACCTATATCTTGTAGATTACGGACAGCGTCTCTCACAGACTCTGGCTCTGGGCTGTCCAATACTTGGGATAAGAAATCTACAGCCTACAAGCACCAAAAATGATAAGCCATTAATAAATATAAAATAGAAGAAAAATGTAAATACAGATACAAGAAAGAACAGGGAAAAAATTATTCCTGTACCTTTGAGTTTGGACTGTGGATTTTAGCCTGCACTACTAAACTCTCAAGTGGGATGCGCAGGATCTCAGGGATGGGAAAGGGAGGCATGGATTCCAGCTGTTTTCTTGAGAAAAGGTGGTAGGACTGTCCCGGCTGACACCGGCCTGCTCTCCCTTTTCTTTGTGTAACATTTGAACGGGAAATCCAAACTGTATCCAGACAGGACACCTGGGGCGAAATAAATAAATGAGATTACTTTTGCTGACATTTTCCTGGAATAAAATCAAATGTCAATACTAACCTTAGTCCTTGGGTCATAATTCTGTTCTTTGTGAGTTCCTGCATCCACCACGTGAACAATGTCATCTATTGTAACTGAGGTCTCAGCAATGTTTGTGGCCAGGACTATCTTTCTTTGTCCCACTTGGGGGCGCTGGAACACAGCCTGCTGGTCAGCCACTGATAAACTTGAGTGCACTAAAAGAAAAGCAGAACCAATTATAAACTGGTTATAGGTGGGGAACCTTTTTCCAGAGGCCTCCTTTTTGGCCTCTGGAAATCCATCGCCTTACTTACAGGGCAGGATCATCTGGGAGCCAGAGGAGAAGCGCGGTTTTTCCTCGAGCTTCTCTTGAACAGCCTTTATGTCCTGCCATCCCGGGAGGAAACACAGCACTGCACCTGAAGAACGAGGGGAGAGGAGTTGTTGTAAAATATGACTCTGCCCAAAATTTCAAACACTATTATTTAAAGTGAATTAACAGCTTGGTAAAATAGGCACCTGGTTCTCCACATCTGTCAATGTGTTCGATGACATCAGCGACTAAATCGAGATCCGGTGTGGCATCGTTCTAAACAAGAAGACGCAGAGCAACTCATCAGTTTGGAAAAAAAGAAAATGTGTGAAAAACAAAAATGTGGCAGATGTGAGTTCCACCTCTTTGTCCGTCTTTGCCCTTTCTGGGACCTGAGAACGACGCCCCATCTCTTTCAGTACATCTTCCAGGTACTTGTCTCGTACTGGGTGCATGAACCCTGGCACCTTTACGATCGGGCAGCCGCCAAAGTACTGAGCCAGCCTCTGGTTGTCCCCAGTGGCACTCATGAGAACGACCCTCAGGTCAGGGTTCTCATTCAGGCTTGTGCGCAGCAGAGCCAGCAGCAGGTCTGTGTTTATGTCTCTCTCGTGGACCTCGTCAACCACCACGTGGCTGATTCCCTTCAGGGTTGGGTTTGACTGCAGCTTCCTCAGCAGGACGCCCACTGTGAGGAAGAGCAACGCTCCTCCACTGTGCTCTGGGAGTCGGCTCTCGAGTCTCACCTACAGGAGAAAGATAATACAAATATTATGCATTACTATGGAAAAGATTACTCAACCCTTCATATCCTTGCGACGCTACCAGCCACAATTCAAGGGTTCAGTTACAAAACCAATGTGGTAGAATGAGAAAACTGCCAGTTTATTTTATTCTACTTTTTACTCTTTATGTCAGAAAATAGTTAAACACAATAGATATGAGGAAGGCCCTCAAAAATTAGAACTTTAATATAAATCTGTAGTCATTGCATGAGCTGCAACGCTCAAGTTTTCTAGAGAGAGGTGCAGGCAGATCAAACATTTTACTGTAATCTAGATAGCTTCATAAAATCAAAAATAACAAAAACACCTATGACATAATTTTATGTCCCGGTGATGACTGCAATTAAAGTTAGAGCACTTTGTTGTGAGAGCCCAAAAACAGCTTTGTCGAGAGGAATTTCAAATACGTTTATTGAATAAAAAGTTTTAAAAAGCTTAATTTTTAAAGCACAAGACAAAGTTTTGAAGTTGTGCAAATACATTTCTCTTATTAGAGAAATCAAAACAAATAGTTTTGTGTTCAACTAAGATATTGTATAATCTATGCGGCTGTCCTAACCTGATATCCTACAGACTGTTTCAGAGCTGGACCCATCTCCTGAGCAACACGGTGGGCCACCGACACAGCACTGATCCGGCGAGGCTGGGTTACCAAGATGTTGCACTCAGCCCCGCTGCCCCCTCTCACGCGATCCTCCAGCAGAAAACGAGGGACCCGAGTTGTCTTGCCACATCCTGTTTCTCCAGCAATCACAACTACCCTGGAGGCCTGCACAGCTGAGATCACACGCTGACGGTGGGCGTCGACCGGGAGCTCGAGGCTCAGTTCGGGGTTCGCTCTGTTCCATCTCTCCTGCAGGTGGATGCTGAGCTGCTGAGCCTCCGATTCAGAAAGAGGCCTGTACGGCCTGCCTGTGATGGCATCTGTTATAAAATCCTCCTCTTCCTCATTATTCCGGTTTATTGTCTGCTGTTCTTTTGCCTCTTCGTCTTCCCATAGTTTCTGTACCTCTGTTGTCACTGGGTACTGTTAGAAAAATGCGCAAACTCAGAAACTTACATTTTTGTCAAAACTCAGTCAAACACCACTAATCCTCCTTGTACCAAGACTCACCTGGGTGAGGTACTCTCTCACGCTTTGCTCCAGATATTTTGGAATCTCCAATGGAAGTGGGCGCCTCTCCCTCTCTCCAGCCTCCCTCACCTTTTCTCGATGATACTTGGCATGTGTCAGTGGGTTGTTGTCCTTATCCAGCAGCTCCAATTCCTGTAACCAGCAGGTGAGATGCATATATTAAGTACAATCTTGACTTGTTAAGATACAGTAGTTCTCGACAAATACTCACCTTTAGCTTCATGCAGGCAAGTGCAGCAGCTCTCGCCTCTGCTGCCGCCCGGCTGCCTGCTTTGGCTGTGAATGTCATCTCCTCGGGCCAGAGCAGAGTCAGTTCACACGTCTTTAGCTTCCCTCCTGTTGTTCTGAACTGCAGTAGCTCCTGCAGTAATAAGTCACATGGTAGCTTACAATGCACATTGAGTTTAAAGAGGATAGATTGTTACCGCCCAAAACAAAGTGAACTACAAACCCAGATATTGGATGATGTGGCCACCTGGATAACCCTATTCAACAGAGATTTAGGTTGTGGAAACAAGGAAAGAGCTTCTGACACATTGGAGTCATCCTCTTTAGCAGGTGCCCGGTCATTTGCTCTGCCTCTGTAGATATCACCTGTCCAGGAATTATCCTCATTATCATGAAGAGGTGTATGCAGCCCTCCTCTCCCTCGGCCAGCTCTCCCCCTGGGGAGCTGGTTGTTTGGCCCTATCACACCCATTTCCTGTAAACAAACACAATCAAAGAACGGTGAGAGGGGAGAAAGAGACATATCATATACTGCAAACTCACATGCTGGTTTTCAGCTTACTCTGAGCTTCTGACAAGCGGCAGCTGCTGCAAATTGCTCTGCCTCGCTCTTCTTTGAGCCGTAACCCTCCTCTTCTATCTTGCAGGGCCACTGCAGCGTGACAGTGGCCTTCTACAGAGGAGCCACAACACAAAGCTTAACACCATCAACGGATTTTGTCACATGTACAGTGAAAGCAATAATGCTGTCTCGCTCTGACTTTAGCGCTGACCTTAACACCAGCATGTTCCATGCAACTGTACTGGATGAGCTGAGAGAGGTCGCTGACTCCCAGTGACCGTGAGATGGTGTTGTGCAGGAGGCTTTTAGGATCTGGAAACTCCTTCAGGAGGTGGCGTCTGCTATCGACTAAATAGTAAATATAATAAAAATTGTAAAAGGTGACTGTCGGCAGTGGATACATGGGAGTCCAAATATGAGATAAAAGAAGCAAGACTGCGAAATACAAGCACAAACCATAACCTTTTAAATGACGTGCCCTTGAGTTTTTAGCGCCGCTGCTGGCGAGCTGTCACCCGTTAGCTAACCGGCATCTTCACTCACCTCGTTTACTCTGGAAATAAGATGTCGCATTCATCTGAAAGCTTGGAGGTTTGGTCCCATACCACCGCATTTCTTTACTCAAGTCAGACGCTGTTTTACAGCCACTGTGAACGCATTTGCCAATGTTGCATAGCGCTCTCAAACGCACGAGTAAAACACCGGGGAGCGCCATCTTTAAACTAAAGTGTCTTCTTCGGCTCCTCTACAAGCTGTTTTCATGAAACGCCCTCTTGTGGCAGGGAGTATAACTGCATCTTTTAGAGCGCCTCGTAAAAACATGAGCAGATCAGAATCAGATAAACTTTATTAATCCCAGAGGGAAATTGAGTTGTCATAGCAGCAGATATACAACAAACATCAAGCACTCATACAAAATGAGTGTAGAAACGGCGATATTAATAAATAAACATTAAGACATATAGATAAATATAGAGATATAGGTATAAATATAAATATACATATAAATATAATAGGACAAGTATGTGTGAAAATATATGTTGTGGTGCACAAAAGTGACCCACGGGGATAAATTAAAGAGTCTGATAGCAACAGGAAGGAACAACCTCCTGTAACGTTCCCTCAGATAGCAAAGTTGAAGGAACCCGTTACTGAAACTGCTCTTCAGATTGTCCAGTGTGTTATGGAGGCGTGGGAGTCATTGTCCATGATTGCCAGCAGTCTTGCCAGCATTCTGTCACTGTTCACCTCCTCCAGGGTGGCGAGCTTCATGCCAAAAACAGACTCTGCCTTCCAGATGAGTTTGTACAGTCTGTTTGTGTCCTTTGCTTTGATGCCTGGACTCCAGCATGCTACAGCAAAGAAGACGGTTCTTGCAACAGCAGACTGATAAAACATATAGAGCATCTTGCTGCTAACGCTGAAGGATCTGAGCCTTGTGAATGTGATTTCTGATCCAAATCAATCAAAGTTTTCCTTTACTTTCAGGTTTCTTTGCGGTCCTTCTAACCCACTTGTGGAGGGACAATAATTGCACCTAACTGGGTCTTGACAGCAGCACACTGCATCACACGAGAGCGAATTTGTTCTTGGTGTTTTCATGGCCAGATCACATATAAGCAGCCGTTTTGAATACTAAAAAAAGTGTCATGAAGATGAACTGAAAGCCTTTTTCGTTTCAATTCCAGTTTCTACACATACAGGGTGGTTCTTGCTGAGCATGACATGAACAAAGAGGAGGGACCTGAATAGTTCATTATCATTGAAAAATTCATACACCCCAAATGGAACTGTGTGTCGTGTGGATATGGTGTTGCTTTCTACTCTTTAACTTGTAGGAAAACAATGACACAGTCTATTTTTTTCCTCATCCTTGTTCACAGGAATGACATTGCCCTACTAAAACTGGAGAAGAGAACCACTATCAGGGATGAGGTTCAGCTGGCTTGCCTGATGCTACTCTCACCCACAACCAGCCCTGCTACATCACAGGGTGGGGTTGTCTCTACAGTAAGACCCACTGCTATTGTCAAGTGTGGCACATCTTTGTTAAATTCTAAATACTCAGTTATTATGCATTCGATTTGATTGGTGTTGTGATCTTTAGCCCCCTGCTACACCACAGCAGGTGGTGGATCACAGCGTCTGCAGTTAAAGTGACTGGTGGGGTGGTTCAGTAAAGACAACAATGGTCTGTGCAGGAGGTGAAAGCAAGTCAGCATGCCATGTGAAAAACAACAACAGAACTTTGTTATATTTTTGCAAAATAAACTGTTCAGTGTATGTGTTACGGTTCAGGGTGACTCTGGAGGCCAGTAGTGGTTTTAACCTTTGAACTCCCCCATGGATGCCATTTTTGCCTGGCCTCTTTCTTATTGTTGACCTTAACTGAGGCAAGTGAAGCCTGCTGTTTTTTAGATGTTGTCCTGTGTTCATTTGTGATCTGGATGAGGTGCTGATGTATTCTTGGGAGTAATTTTGGTAGGCTGTCTACTCTCTGGAGTCCCAAAGCCTTAGATGTGACGTAACCTTTACAGACAGATAGATGTCATCCACTTGTATCAATCTGGAAACTTAACAGTTTCTCATTTGTTCTCGAGTTTCTTTAGATCGTGGCATGATCTTTAAGCATACTTCACTTTGTTATACAGGTTCTGTTAAAGTGATCTTTTTGATTCAACAGGCCTGGCAGTAATCAGGTCAGTGTGTGGTTAGTGAAATTGAACTCTGTTTTCTAAGTTAAGTGGGCCATTTACCTTTTCACACAGGGCCAGGTAGGGTTGTATAGCTTTATTCCCTTAAATTATTTAAAAACTGCATTCTGTATTTACCTGGGTTATCTTTATCTGACATTAAATTTTGTTTTATCTGGAATATTTCATATTCATATTTCATATGTGAAAAAGAACAAATCAGGAAGTCGATGACAGGAATCTGTTTCACTGCCCTGTAAAGAAAATTCTCTCCGAGACAGGTACAAACTCTGGTGATGTTTCTTTGCAGACAAGGGCCCAAAACTGATTTAGACTTCATAACATGTGAAGAAACTGAACATTAAAGTGTATAATAAAATGTTTGTATTATGTCTGACTTGCATTTCCTTTAAGCATCTACACATTATAAGTAACATGCAGGATTGAACAGATAAGGAAACGCATTTATTCATTTTAAACAATATATACATGTTTTACAAAGATAAATCCAAACATGGACAGTTTTAAAAAGTCTGAATTAGCATTATGAAAATACAAAGACGAGTTGGGTGTATTTAGTTACTGTGTCATTGATCTATTTGTATAACTACAAAGCAAATGTAAAAACTATAACATGAGAAATGACCGTTTATAGAATGAGTGCAGTTTTTTAGTATTTTTTTCTAACCTTTGTAATTAACAAGTTTGTGACACAAGCAAAAAATCTTAACTGCCAGCGTAAATACACAGCTTATATAATAAGCCTTAACTGGTCCTTGTAGCAGCCTCAGTTTTAAAGAACATGACAGCAGTGGTTTTCAAACTGTGGTTCAGTGTGTCAGTACAGCAGGGTAGCTGGACAACTACAGAATAATATGCAGTGAAGCAGAGCTGAGTGGATATAATTTATGTGGAGAAAATAAGTTTGCTGTGTTTACTTTTGTGTTTTTTGTTTTTACAAAAGTACTCATGAGCCTGAGGGCTTCCAGGTGAAGAAGTTGATTCCTTGCAGCTCCTCAGGTAAGTACTCCTGCTCTACGGGGTCGCTGAAGGCTGGGTTGTATTTGTAGCCTTTCGAGTATCCCAGCTGTTTCATAAGCCTGGTTGGGGCATTGCGGAGGTGCAAGGGGACGGGAGGCAGGGGACCTTTGTGGCTTCTCAAACAGGTCTTCACATTATCATAGGCCTTGTAGATCGAAACAGACTTGGGTGCTCGTGCCAGATAGACCACACACTGAGCGAGGATCACCTGTTGACCAGCAGATGAAACAAAAGGAAGAAAATTGAGGTGAAGACAACTTTAGGGTTGACAAGACAGGAGACTTCCAGTCACTGATTGGTCCACTGAGCTTACCTCACATTCAGGCATCCCAATGAAATGACAGGCTTGGAAGGCAGAAACAGCCTGAGTAAGAGCGGCGGGATCTGCCATACCTGAAAGACAAGAAGGATGCAACGCTGCAGAATAAGAAGCACTTTTTAAAAAAAACATTATGACTACTTTGTCAAGCTTCCTCTCTCTCTGGCATTTCAGTCCAGTCAGTAGTTTCTGAACTATTTTCGCAGACAGCGATTTATAGAAGCGTTCCTGAGCTCGTGCTGTGGTTTCCATGACAACGTCGTGCCCGGTTTTAATGCAGCATCACGGGAATCTGATGTTGATTTTCAGCCAGATTTCTTTAATCATCAATCTTTTGATAACGTTATGTACTATAGATGATGAGATATTTAAAGTCTTTGTTACATTGAGGAAAACTAGTTCATTTTTTTTAACAATTTGTAGATGCAGTTTTTGGCAGATTGCTGAACCTCTGCGCTTTACTTCTGAGAAACTCTCTGCTTCTCTAAGATGCTTTTTTATATCTAATCTTGTTGCTGTAATATTGCCAATTACACTAATTAGTTGTAACATGTTCCTCCAGCTGTGTCTTTGTAGTACCTCTTACTTTTCCAGCCTTTTGTTGCCATGTCCCAACTTTTCTGAGACATATTGCTGCCACCAAATTCAAAATTGCCTTATTTTGTCTTAAAATTGTACAATAAAAAAGTATAAATAGCTCTACTGACATAATAAAGCCAGATGTGGTTAGGACTGTAGAGAAGAAAAACTGGAAAAAAGTGTAAGAAGCCTTTAACTTAGGGATGAACTGATAATGTTTAAAAAAAATTACTGGGCTGATAGCAGTGCCCGTATCTTTTTTTTTCTGTGTGTATTTTGATTTTCTTGCTATTTATAAACCCCTTTGTGCCAGGGGAAAAAAAAAAGGTCAATACACACCGGATGACTGCAGCTGGAAAATTCTAAAATATATAAATATATATACATATATATAAATGTAGAGGTGAGATAACGCGACAATTAAATTCACCTACCCACATCTTCACTGGCAAAGCGGACCAATCTGCGAGCCACGTAGAGCGGATCCTCGCCACCCTCAAGCATACGGCCCAGCCAGTATAGAGACGCATTCTCATGGGAGCCTCTCATAGACTTATGTAACGCTGATATGCAGTTGTAATGCTCTTCACCTTTAAGTAACACACACACACACACACACACACACACACACACACACACACACACACACACACACGAAATGTTTCAAACAGATAAGAAGAGTTTTTTTTAAGGTGGCATTCCATCAGCAATTTTCAAACCAAGAGATTGAAGGTCATTACATACTGAAAAAAACGACCTTATCTAAAAAAACAAAGACTGATCAGGCAAAAATAGATGAATACCGTCTCCATTAAAGTCATTAGTCAAGCTGAATGATGGCTTCATCTCCCAGTGAAGCAGGGAACAGTAAATCTCCATCTTTTGGGACAGCTGCGTGTTGTGTAACAGGACAGTGTGGAGGACTAATGAGTCTGAGGAGTTCTGTGCATGATGAGCAAAGGTGATAAGAACAGCTAAAACTACAGCAGACTAAAAAAAAAAAAAAGCACTGATTATAGGTAAACGCGGGCCTTATAAGTTATTGTAATGAGCAAAAACATTAAAATATCAGTTAG